ATCGAACCCTCGGGAAGTGGAAAAGGTCACCTGTGTTATTACCCACTAAGCTTCACTTGACGGGGGCGTACAACTTAGGGTACTAACAACTTAACTTGGGCGACCCAAGTATGTACCATCCATTGGATGGCAAGCGACTGACCAGTTCCAGTGACCACTCTTGGAAGTTTACTGGCTGAATCCCCTCTTGACTTACCCACTTGGAACGGAAAGCCACTGAGTGCACCATTGCCACACGCCCATTCGCGGAAATTCACGGGTCACGGAACCCAAGAAGCGGCGGTTTTTAAAAACGAAAGCTGGTTTGTTTCGGGGTTCCATGAGGCACGTGTACCCCCCAGCAAATTAACATGGAACCCAAAAAGGGTGTCCCCCAATAGTTTCCTCTACAAATAATGGTTTGTTGGGTTCCACGTTCGGAGAGCAAAACATCTTCGGATCCATGGGTGGGTCTTGCTTTTGGCTTGCCCAAAGAAGCCAACTTGACAAAGGCACCTTTCGCATCGCCTCAAAACACATCATGAACGAAATGTATGCCGGCTCGTGTATCTAGAGCCCTCAAAATCACCCCTGGGCATCGCAGATTTGGGAAAAGCCATCGATGCAACATCCATGCATAAAACCAGTCCGTGCGAGTCAGAACCAGGCGCCCAGGAATAAAAAAAAGCAAACTACTTGCATGTCCAACCAACTCAGAAAGTCGGTTGTAACCGTGGTTATAGCTAGGATATCTGGGGTTGGTCCCCTTATAGCCACGGTGGTAACCTACTTGCCTGACGTTGGCAACGAACATCCCAGGGCTCAACCCCACCAAAAAAGACTGGCAACCAAAGAGATCAATTTAGAAGACACTCCAAAAGGAGAACCCTTCATGATCCCTGCCCTAGGCTTCAACTATCTAAAAAGAACGGCAGCCCAAAAAAGACAAGTTAAATTGAAATGATGACCCACGGTAAACAGCGGATTGGTAAACAGTGGATTGGTGAAAAAAAGGTCTTCTTTGTTTTTTTAAAGATGAGTTGAATCCCAGGGCCATGGTTGATTTAGGGTGTCCGGAAGCCCCCCCCCCCCCAAAGAAAAAAAACAGTGGGAAAGCCATCACCAAAGTGAAACCTAAAAACCACGAGGTCCTGCAAGGGAACCCCTCCCAAAAAAAACACATTATGGTGTGTCCTTTGGTTTCCCCTTTAAACCCAACCAAAAGGGGTTCCGTCAAAGACGACACACCCACAGCGGGCCGTACGAACCCAACCATTTTTGTTAGATGGGTTTGGATCCCAGGCGCTTACTGAAGTCGTCCGATTTCGGGGGGGTCTCTGCACCAAGCCAAAATCAACCAGATACTTGGGTCTTATCGGATGCTGAGACTCCTTTGTGCTTGCCTCTGCGATTTCCCGTCGCCTTGTGGGGTTGAATTGAAGGAGTGTTTCGACGGTTTTTTTGAGTGGGTGGGTGGGTGGGAGCAAACATCCTTGAGAGGGTAGAATCATTGGAGGATGTCAATTTGGACCCAGTAAGCAGGCCCATGGTCGAGCTCGGAGTACGCCCCAAAATGGCTTCAGCTTTCCATCTTGGTTTCGCTTTAATCAAAACCAACTGCAATTCGGAAGGGTGAACCGCGGTCTTCGACCTGAAAAGGGCCCCAGCCTCAAACCGACTTTGCCGGCGCCATCCTTCGCGCCTCAGTTCTCGCTCAGGTCTGCGTTTTGCTTTTGCCGAAGCCGCGGCACCGAAGCCTCTCGAGGTGAGGAAGAAGGAAGGGTGAAATGCGGTCGTCGATGTTGCTTGCTTCCCCAACAGCTCCTTAAAAGATCTCCATTTTGCGAAACCATTTGAAACATGTGGCTTTTTCAACACCAAACTAACGGTTGACACCACCATTTACAAGTTGCAATGTTCAGGTGTACAATGCATCCGGACCCCTGCCTAGCAGCTCATGGGGTGGGCTTGCAAGTCCAGTTTTTTTGTTTGAGATACCAAGTTGTTTTCTTTTTTTTTTTGTTGTTTTCTGAGTGTTGGGGTTGATGGGCCAAACTAAGCTCGTTTGGGGTGGTTTGGGACATTCAGGAGGGTTCCGGAGATTCGGTTCTGGGGGTTCCGGGGCTGTTGGGATACCATCTGGGCTTATTTGGAAGGTCTGGCGACCTATGTGCTGAAGCCTCTTTACTCTTTTCAATGGTCTCCCTACTTGCTTGTAGGGAACGGCCATTTTTGATTTACTTCTCATTATTTTTTCGGTTTGATTTGTTGGTGGAAGGGCATGGTCATTGTCATTTGTCCCGAAATAGAGAGCAGCTCTCCCAAAATGAGTGGCACATAGCTTGGGTCGCAATCACCCTTTCAGGAAGATCTCTTCAATGGTGGCCGTTTCACGCCCATGCCCCATGTGGGGTTGGGGGTAGCCCTCTTTTGATTGGGTTCTCCACTCAGTATTGAAGAGCTGGGGCAAACCGCAGGTTTTAGTGTTTGGTTCCATTTACCTTTTGATGCAATTTTGTGGATTCCATTTGTTTGAGCAGCCAAGATTAGGATTTCTTGAGCCAATTATGTAGTGATCATCATGCGGTATTGTGTAATTGTTTAGCCCATGTCCAAAAGCCGTCAAACACCCCAGAGAAAGATCCGGTTTTCGAAAAGAACGATGGTTGAACAGAATGGGGAATCAACTCCTAGAATTACCCCTTTCGAAAGGTGACACCTGCCGCCTGGGCTGCCAGAATCTCGCAAAAAACGCATACAAACCAGCCAGGGCGCACACGCGCTCGAACTCCCTGCCGAAATCGGAACTTGTTAGTCGTCTTGGTCGTTTTGCAGTGAAGCTGGTGCGGCACCTGGATCTTCAACCAACTTAGTACGATTAGTAAGTAGCTTCCAACCATGCTTATAACTAGAGCAACTGGGTTGGTCCCGTTCTAACCATTCTCACAACCTACTTACCTGCGTTGGCAACGAACATCCAAGTAGTGCTTCGCATGCTGGAGCCGCACGGCATCGTGTCAATGCGTTCTGCCAGGTGCAAAGATGAATGCCTGAGCAACGGAAGGGCTCTTTCCCTTCCGAGTCCCGAGTCGGAAGCGGACGGTTCTGAAGGCTTAGGGGCCAGGAAGCTGGGAGCGACTGTTTCTCACGCCTGTGTGAGACTCGAGACTCGCGCGGTTTACATGGAGAAAAAGAAGGTGACTTGGGATGAAAAGTCAACAGTGGCCATCGCCCTGGAACGGACCGTGTTGTTTTTGGTTGGGCTGTGGGTTTTTGGCGGATGTTGGGGGGGTGTTTTGCTTTGCTTGGGCCTTGGTTTTTGGTGGGTGATTTGTTTTTTTAGACGGGTTGCGGGGTACAAAACCAAGAAAACCTCCGCATCATCCGGGGTCACGTTTTGTTCGACCATCTTGCAACTCCCTGTGTCTAAAATGACGAGCAAAGAACATATCTTCGTATCCCAACAACTCCCTTTGACTAAAATCATGAGCAAACAATTGTTCGAATCCTAAATCCCTTTGACTAAAATGATGAGCAAAGAACAGAGGTTCGAATCCCTAGCAGTTTTGTCACCTTCACCAAGTCATATGCTTTCCCTGTTCCCCTCCCCCTTTCACTCCGGACTGGATCCGGTCCAAAACTGGTCCGGCGGTTTCAGGCCCGACAGACCCAAAAAGAATCTCGCCCCCAAACTTGTTTGATTTCTTTTCCGGCCGCCTGGGCTCGCCGCCCTGCTCCCCCCCCTCCACTTTCGGACTGGCACGTGCTTCCCTTCCCCCGCTTGGACCGATCCGATTTCCGGTCCCTCCTGTGCCTCCGGTGCCTCCGGTGCCAGGCCCCCAACGGCGACTCGGAGGCCTCCCCCGAGGAGCCCCCGAATCCGCTGAAGCGCAGCAAGTCCCAGGCCGCGGCCAAGCTCAAGGCGCCGTTTCCCCCCGCCGCCGACCCTGGGGTCTGGGGTGGCTGGACCTGTACCTTCCGATACATTTCAAGTGGGGTTCATAGATCTCAACATGCTTCCCGGCCCCAAAACTTGCTGCGATAGGTAGGGAATGTGGGAATGACAGGAAAATGATTTGGGAATGAAGGGGTTTCCTGAAAGCAAGACACACCCGCATGTCCTTCCCGATGCCCAGCGGTTAGTATTTTTTTCCAACCCCAGCGGGTCCTGCGAACCTGTTAGGCAACCAAGAGCTTGCCACCCGAGATAAGAACCAAACGGAAAATAGAGAAGGGCTACCAGGGTTTGCCTGGGATCCGCAGAGCCGAGCCCTCTTATAAGTCCTCCAAATAGACGCAAGTGGAGTTAACCTTAGTGGGTTACAACTTGTAAAGACAGGCGGCCTTTCCCACTTAACGTGGCAACACACATCCGAGCAGGGATTGGATCGCCAAACACGCAAGCGATCAATTTTTGTTCGCCGGTCTCCAAGCTGCCAGTTCCATCCGAAGCTTTGTTCGCTGAAGAGATGCATGTGGGCCAAAGAATCACCTATACCCATTTGGGTCAAAGAATCACCCCAAGGGCTTGGAGTTGCCTTGGGGAGCACGTTGCAGTTCCAAAAGTTCCACCTTCGTTTTCCCGAAGCCTTTGGAGCAAATGAGGCCTGGGGCTCACAGGAGCGAGGCGTTCTCATGGGTTTCAAGCGAGCGCACGACCAAATTTCGGTGGTTTCTCGCGGCGCTTGAAAGGCGGCCATGTGGGCTCCAGTTCACGCGGGATTTGGTTCTTGAGGGGGCTGGGCGAGCGCTGGTTACTGCAGGACTCCGTTGGTCGTGTGCTCTGTTTGCGAGGGGTCAGAAATCACTCTGCGTGGTCAAATCGGCACTTCTGTAAGTCAAAACTGATGGTGGTAATTGGTTTTTGCTGAGTGGTAATTGGTTTTTCCTCTAGTTTCCTTGCCCAGTTTCGCCGCCACGGTTCCTTTCATGGTTTCAACACAGGGGCCGTTGCTCCTTCTCGACGAACGCCGCCTGAACTTCTGCGCCTCAACACTCAATCCTCCGCAACACGACCATTTTGGCTCGAGGCGGCCGCGTGAAAAAAGATCCGATGGCGGTCGGTCTTAGTTTCATGTAGTCTTCTCAATCCACGCGCCATGGTTCGGCTCTCGCTGGTTCCCTTTGGGCTCCTGACCCCGAGCCTGGCGCTGAGCCCGGTGGCTGATGCGAATGAGCCCTGGACGAACTTCTTGGTCTTCGATGCCCATTACCTGCCAATGGCGAAGTGCGGCTTGGTCTAATCCTTTTTTTTCTTCTCTTTCTCAACCCTTTCTTGATGGATGGTTTTTGAGGGAAAAAAAAGAGCGGGCCCTGTTTCACACAACCACATGTCCCGTGGTCAAGATGCCCGGAAATGGGTATGGGTCAAAATTAAACCACCAGGAATCGGACCAGTTTTGGTCATTGTTTCCATGTACCGTGCCATTTTGGGGTTACCCGATTTTTGACCACCACAGCCAAATGTTGGAAAGTCCCAGAACTCCCAGGCCTTCACCTCCGATTCTGGTGGAGGGTTGGAGGGTTGGGGATGTGGGGATGTGACATCCCCCGTTCGGGTTTCTTGAATTCTTGGGGCCGACAAACAGTGAAACGCGCAGATCCATGACCCGTTTTTTTTTTTTTTTTTTTGTGTGTGTTTTTCCTCCTTGTTTTCTCTTTTTGTTCTTCTTTTTTTCTTTCCAATGCTGGGAGTCTCGCTGCCTTTCTCGTTTGGCTCTGTTCGCTTGGAAAGCAGGCTGCGTCGCCAGGTTGGTTCCGGTGGTTCGAGCAGAACGCCTCCCCACAGCCGCTGAAGCTTGGCTGGCCATGTTCAGTTAGAATGTGTGCGTGTGTGCGCGTGTGTGTGTGTGTGTGTGTGTTTCCCAACAAAGAGTGGATCCTTTTGTTCAGCAAACCATCAAGAACGATACTTGAAAAGAATGGGGAATCAACCCCTAGAACAATCAGCAACAAGTTACCCACGCTCTTTTGCCCATTCTGACCCATCAAGGGTATGAGCAGGGTTTCTTGAAGGGATACCCATTTTCCCGCTAAAAAGGGGTCCGATTGCGAAAAGGAGTTGCCTCATGGATGTTTTCCCGTCCGGGTTCCTTCCGTTAAGGGGCATTGTACTTAGTATATAAGTGGCAAATAAGCATGGTGAGATAACCCACGTATCAGCCATGGTTCTAAGTCTCCTTTCCGTGGGTTATAACCGGGCATACCAACCACTTGCCTGACGTACGCTGCCCCAGAAAAGCAGACGACAGATGAAGCAGAATCTGACCATCTCACTCTCTGTGTAGCCTGCCTCCCACGTTGCCGTGGCAGCTGACAGGGGGTTCCCTTCAAGAGGAAATGATCTTCCGGGTACCCTCCCACAGGTGCCATGTTTGTGGGAGGAAGGGTAATTACCCCATTTTTTTGGGGTCCACCAGCGTCTTCCCGCGTCACGCGGCTCGGAATGCGCCGAGCGCTGAGGAAGGTGGGGTGCATGGACGCCCGGAGCTGCGCGGAGGCGAGGAACTGGCAAGCTCCGCTGCAGAGTAAGGCGCGTTTTTTTTCCTTCCTCCGCGCGCGAAAAAGCGATGAAACGAGCTGGCCAGGGTAGGTGGTACCTGGTCTTTATGTCTTTGCTTGGTCCCTTTTTGGGTGTGCCTTTTGTGAGGGAGTCCCATGTTTGGTTACCAAAGGAACACCGAAACCGTTTTGCGGGTCTCTCCCGTTGAAACCTTAACATGTTAGTACTTGGGAGCTGCTCGACTGTCTTGGACGATGCTTCAAACCAAGGGGCAAATAGGGGTATGAGATATGGCCCCGGGCTGCGGGGGACCAGGCAGATGCCTCATGAGTGTTGAGCCGCTTTTGGTTTCCTTTTAAATGTTACGGAAAGGGACTCGGCGATGGCTGTTTAAACAACATTTGCAACCAACCCTGGCGTGCCTTTCTTTGAGAGCACTCTTTGTGCAGGTGTCCTCTTCAGGTGTTCCTTCTGATTGTTTGCTGTTCTTCCTCGCGTTTTGTTGTTGTTTTGGGCTGGTTTTTCCGACTCTGGAGTGGCGTGGGCTGTGTGGCGCCCAATTCTCTCCTCCTATTTTCCATTTCTTTTCCTATTTTTCCCGGCCCTAAAGAAGCACTACAGAAACCCCACCCTGACACCCACCCGATTTTTATTGTCAATTTTTATTTTTAATCAAGCGTCAGGTTCCTCAGGCAACTATGAGTGTCTGACCAAAGAAAATGCCTTTTATCGTACAAGCCGAAGGGGGCGACCCAGTGATTAGTGACAACTGGAGTTGCTGGAGTTGCTGTTTCCATCAAGGGTCAGGTTCCTCGTTTTTGAGCCCTAAGGATCCTTCATACCCATTGCATTCTTGTTTTCTCCATCAAGGGCCATGTTTTTGAGCCGTTCTATTTTTGTTCTTCTATTGAGGCTCGGGTTCCCTAAACCAGCCCGCCCCTTGCACCCAGAGCGTTCGGCGCGGCGCAGGTGAGTCACATGGAGGTCCTCAACGAGGTGGACACCAGCCTCCTCACGCGTCGCGCGGAGGCCCGGGGCGCCGCGGCGAAGCGGGCGTTGGAGGTGAAGTCCGAGGCGGGGATGGTGTCCGTGGGATGCGTGGATGGCTCGGCTCGGGGAAGGTCAGGGGGTTTCGTTTTTTTTTCTTCTTTTTTCTCCCTTTGTCTTTTCTTGTTTTTTTTTTTTTTTTTTCTTTTTTCTTCTTCTTTTATTCTTATTTTCTTTTTCTGCGAGCCATCCGGCTCCTTAGCTTTTTAGCAGATCTTTTTTGGTGTTGAGTGAAAAGTCTGCGAAGTCAATGCTTCTTTCTTGAAGGGAATTCACTTGCGGGGTTCACCCGCCCTTGGCGCCGCACAGGGAAATCGCAGGGACAACCTTTTTTTTACCGAAGGACCAGTTGGGTTCCCGAATTTTTGAGACACGTGTTCCTGGCTGGGCTCGCCCAAAAGGAGAGACCCTGGCACACCTGCCACACTCAAACGACCTTTTGCCCGGAGGAGCCACCCACCGTTAGGAACCTCGGAATCTCCTGTTGGTGTTTTTGTTCAGGAGCAGTGGAATATGGGTAAAAATTCCCCCCCCCCCCCCCCCAGAAAAACCTCAGGTTTTAGTCCATGTGTCCATTTGCCAGGGTTCCATTTTGGGTACCTATCTTTGACCCACAGCCATATGTCAGCTTTTGACACATTTGGCTGGCCCTACCCTATGTTCCTCAAGGGCAATATATGGGGCTAGAGCATCATACAGATCAATCCCTTACGGATTCCTGGGGTTCGACCAATTTCCAGCACAATGATGGCAATAAAGGGGACCCAATTCAGATGATGACAGTCCTGAAGGTCAAGCAATGGTGGTGAAATATGAACCGCGGTTGTTTTAATGGTGGCAACTGAAACCCAGGGTTATCATTCCCGTTCCAAAAGAGGAGTGCCACATTTTGCCCTCAGCCACCGAATCAACTTCCAATTGCCTTTTTTGCGGGTACCCCTTTTTTGGCTGTTTCAAATGAAAACCAAAATGACAACCGTTGCGCATGCGTTTTTATTTTTAGTTTTTGGGTCCGATCCCTAAAAAAGCCAAAAGCCTTTGGTGGTGGTTGAACACCAAAAGGAACAGCGGTCAGCGCGCCATGAATCAGGGGGGGGGGCCTTGGGGGGGGGGGGGGGGGGGGGTCCAGTTCCTGGTGCGATAGGTAGGGCATGAGGGAATGAACCCAGGCTTTGGCCCCCCTTGAAAGAAAACCAGATCCATTTCCCCATTCTAAACCCAGGGATCCGAATCTTTCCAGGGATAGCCACCCTTGAAACCCTGAGGGAAATGGATCTGGTTTTTTGAAAAGAAGGATGACTGAAAAAAATGGAAAAGGAATCAACCCCTTTAAAGAAAGCCCCCAGCTCTAAGGTTCATTCCCTCATTGGGTGTTTTGTGGGCCTGGGGTGTTGAATTGTCAAACAAGGTCCAAGAAACACCCCTCCCATTTTACAATTTCTCTATTGTTCATTCCCTCATTCCCCATCGCAGAGCAAGAAGTGGCGCCTCCCGCGCCTCCACCTGACAATCAAAACCGATTCGGGTAGATGAAGGTTAGCGATTGGCAGTCCCCTTGCCGGACATCGTTGCGGCTCTCCGCTTTCTCAATTTTTGGCGGTTGGTTCGAGCCATTTTTGGTACCAGGTTTGGATCATGACTCACCTCGGGTCCATCGGTCCATCGGTCCATCGGTCCATCGGTCCATCGGTCCATCGGTCCATCGGTCCATCGGTCCATCGGTCCATCGGTCCATCGGTCCATCGGCCAGGGCACCGTCCTGCCGCGGCAGATGATCCGCAGCGAGGCGAGCGAGGACGCGGCGTCGCAAGAGGCGGGCGACGGACAGTGGCCCAGGACGGGGCGAGGGAGGTGGGCGGAGCGAGGGAGGTGGGCGGTGTGTGTTTGTGTGTGGCTTGATTGTAGTTGGGTTACGGATCTTTAGACTTGATATCATTTTTGGGTCAACAGCAACCAAGGTGACTGAGAAACTGAGAGACTCAGAGACTGACTGAGGGAAAGTAATGTAATTCGCTTCACAATCAAGATGGTGTTGGGGGTGAACTTTGAAAGTGGAAAAAGATGCTAGGACACCCTCTCTCCCTCCTCCCCGCCCCCCCCCAGCCCCCATGAACCAATTTTTGAAGCCCCCAAAGCGACTGGTGACCCAGTGCCTTGGTTGCTATGCAGGCAAATATATCTTAGGACTTGTCCACATTTCCATACTCGCCAAGCTAACAGCCGGAAGCTCCCAGGATGTTTGTGGTTCCATTTCCCAAGCCCTTTCGGCTGTTAGCCTGAGGGCAATTTTTGGGAAACCCTCTCTCCCTCCCCAGCCCCCATGGACCAATTTTTGAAGCCCCTCCTCCCCGCCCCCCCTCCCTCCCCCCCCATGAACAAATTTTCGAACCCCCCCCTCCCCCCAGCCCCCATGAAAGCGCCAAACTTCCCCTCCCCTCCCCCCCCCCAACTCCTATTTTAACAAAAACATGTTGAAGCCCCCCCCAAAAAGCTTTCACTCCTTCAAAATAAAAACGAGAATGTTGAAGCCCCCCCCCCAAAAAGCCAACTCCAGGAACAACTACATCCACATGTACCACCGGATGATCTGGGACACTTTGGAGCAGCACCAGAGGGCCATACTGCACCTGGACATCGACGCCCTCTGGCTCAAGAGCCCGGACCAGTACCTGCAGAAGGCCTACGTGGCTTGGGGAAAGGGCAAAAACCAGAGGTATGTACAAATGCACGCATGTGCATGCAGATGTACACATGTTCGTATGTATGTGTATAAATATAAATATATATAAATATATACACATGTACACACACACACACACATGTGTGTGTGTGTGTGAGAATGTGTTTGAGGGACCCTGGTTTAGGTTGGTTGTTTGCACCATTTGCTTTTGAAGTCTTTCAGCCGGCCTCCTGCACGGGATTAGTGAGTGGACTGGGTGCTGTGTTTTTTTTTTCGATCAACTTGTACAGCCTCAAGAAAAGACAGACCAAACTCCCTTTTTGTTGGGTTGACCCACTACCAATCGAATCAGCCGCAATACCGGCCAGAGGGCGATTGGGGTTTGGGAGCAAAAACACCCGCCCCTTCATCACAAAGTGTGGATGTTTGGAGGATTTTGCCTTGAAGCTGGTAGCAAAGAGTTTCTTGGACACCAACACATGAGTGTCCTTTTTCTGCACAACTTTTGCAGTGGTTTTCAAGAATACTCATTCGGGTCATCATCCATTTGGGGAGTTCCTCATTGGGAGGCCAAACCAGATGGCAGGTGGGTATGAATTTCAACTGGGGAATTGTTTGGTGGACACCATGTGCGCGGGGATTTATGTCCACCCATTTTATAATTACTCCTATTGAACATATCTAGGTGGCCTTTCCTTGGGCAAAAGCCTCCCGCTTTCTCTCTCAAGGTCCCTCCCTGAAAGATGGTTTCCTTTTCATTGCCCCAAACCCAAAGAACCACCCAAAGCAAGACGAGCCGGTCGAATTGATGTCTCTTTTGCGGCTACCCCCGTGTTTGTGGCTTTTAGAAAGCCGAAAGGAGCATCTTTCATTTCCGGACCTTTCTATCAGTCCGGCCCACCAAGCCATATGGGCAGGCAATGCAGGGGATTCCCGCCCCAAATCAGCTTCCTTTCGGTTTCTCGTTCGCTTCCCGCTAATAGGCTTCCACTTCGTCGCCCTCTCGCCCACCCAAAAAGTTGGGCACAACTCACTCACTCCGATTTGGGTGGCAAGGCCCAATTTCAGGCGGTGTCCTTTCGGCCCGTTCGGCCCCGCTTCACGTGGCAAGAAGTTCAAGAGCGGTTCTTCGCTCGGGCCATGTGGAGGTTTTGAGGAAGCACCCGGACGCCGACATCGTGGTGAGTTCCAGCACTGAGGCGAACCCATTGTCCCTCCGCGAGAAGTGGGGCTTTGCAGCCTGGACGGAACTCCGGAATCCACTGCCCCCCCACCCCCGACACAACCCCCAAGGGCAGGGTGCTCGGATGTTTTGTTAATGTTGAAACGCATGTGGAAACATGAACTGTGTTTGAAATGCTTGACCATAATGGCGCATGCCATTTTGGCTCAAGCTTTGCCCTGGGTTCTTTGAACCCAATTTGTGTGAAAAAGATTTGAGTTTGAACACCCTCGAACTAACCCCGATCAAGCAATGGCTTCCTCGGCAACCTCGGCAACCTCCTTCGAGCTGATTGAGGACCAGACGCTCACCGCGGAGGAGGTGGAAATGGCCAGCCACGAGGCCCAGGAAATTCGCACACGCGAGGCGGCAGTGGCGGCCGGCCTGGTGTTGGACGAGCCCGAGGCCCCCCCGTCGGCTTCGGCTACCGACGTGATGAATGACCTCTCCAGTGCACTGGAGCGTCTCCGTGTGGCGTTTGCCACACCGACTTCCGGCTTGGGTGCCCCTGGCCCCGCCGAGGAGGAGGACAAGGACATGGAAGATGCGGACGTCACGGAGCGGGCTACTCCACTGGAGGAGGCACAGACACCACCCACGAAGAGGCTGAAGGGTTTCGTGGCGGCTTCCCAGAAGACCACGGCTCATGTGAACAAACCGGTCTCCCTGGTGCCGGTGGAGGGCCGTCCCGGCTACTTCAAGTTAGTGGACCTCCCAGACCTTTTCCCGGTCCTTCCGGCATCGGCGGCCACGTTGCTGAGGGACGTCACGGTGGAGGAGGCGGTCTCCCTGTTCCACAAGTTTGTCGGGAAGAATCTCACGGAGGACTTGGTGATTCGCATCCTGGAGGCCTATGTTCCGATGAAGATCCAGATCCGGCAGGAGGAGGTCTGGGCCTCACAGTTCCAGAGGAACAAGGCGTGCATTGGCACCCAGCGGATGCACAGACTCGATGCAGGCCACTCAGATTACAAGTTCATGTGCAAGGCATGCGGCACGGGGTGGCCAGAGGCAGCCAAGCAGTGCTGGGTCTGCCCAGGCAAGGAGTTCGTCCCCTTCCAGGCACCCTCGGCTACCTATGAGGCGGACGGCATCACCTACAACCTGCTCATTGTGGAGGGCAAGCCGACCTGGATCCAGCAGCGGAAAGGGGGAAGCCTGGGTGCCGCTGGCCCCGGTGGTACCCGGGCACAGGCAGACCGCAACCTGGTGGACGGCACGGTCCTGGGGAGAGCTCCTCCGAAAACGGACACGGCAGAGGAGATCACCATGGCAGACGTGGTCCCGCTCAACAGGCGGGTGGACATCCGGCAGGAGATCCTGTCCATGGAGGCGGACGACGAGGCGTTGAAGGTCCGGGAATGCCAGGAGATCAAGGTCAAAGTGCAGCGGTCCCTGAAGGAGGCGGAGGCTCAGAGCTTCCAGCTCTACCACCCCCAGGTGGACCAGGCGATCCGGAAGAAGGAGGAGCTGCATAAGGCCTTGAGGGAGCATCGGGAACTGAGGCCTCGGCCAGGCGACGGCACAAGGAGTTGGTCACGGAGGAGATGCTGGACAATGAGATGGCTATCCTGGCGCCTCTCCAGGAGGGCATGCAGGCCCTGCCGTCAGAGGAGGTGGCCAATGAGGGAGCCCGTGCCCTCAGGAAGGTCAACCTGGAGCGATTCAAGGCCAAGCTGCGAGACCAGTACCTGGAGGGGAAGGGCGTTGACGCCAGCCAGGCACTGGCTGAGGCGATGGGCTCCATTCAGGAGGCTCAGGAGGCGAACAAGCGCACCCAGGACACCAACCAGGCATGGATGCTTAACCACACTCTCAAGCCCTTGGAAGTGTCGGCGTGGCCAGATGATCTCAGGCAGGCACTGGAGAGGGGGCTGTTCTGCCCCCTGGAGCTGGATGACCCCGAGGACATCCCCAACGTGGGAGACATCAAGGAGAAGTATGTCCCCTACATCAGGAGGCTCAGAGAGTCGGCGACACCGGCCCCCCCTCCAAGGGTGCCACTGGCCCCGGGGGGGACCAGCCAATGCAGGACGCTGTCCCTGCTCCTCTGGGCGATGAAGAGGCAGGGAGCTACGGATGTTTGGGGGGATCTGGAAGAAGCACTCGAGCGGTGAGATCCCAAGGGCGCTGACCAGCAATTCAAGCTCACGCCGGAGGAGCTCCTGGCCCTGGAGCGCAGGACTCACCCACTCACGTGCGAGCAGGACCACATCGACCCAGTCATCTACACGGCCTTGGAGATCCGAGCGCAGGTGAACCGGGGCGAGCGCCCGGCGCCGGAGCAGGTGGTGGGGATCTTCTGGGCAAAAGGTGATGGGGTGTTTTGGACCAGGCAGACGAGAACGTGGGACCTGCCGAGCCTGACGGGGGTGTACGCCCACAGGTTCACTTTCAAGTACATCTACTCGGCCTGGACCACTTTCCCGCTGATCGTGAAGACGCAGCGCCGGGGCCGCAATGCGGAGGGCTCGACCTCGGACAAGTGGATGGGCAACATCCTCCAGATGAGGAAGGAGGCGGTGCCCTTCCTGGAGAGGAATGGAGCTACATCTTCAAGGAGATGGACGTTTCTGGCGGCCAAGAATTTCATCGTCAACTGCCCGTTGCCGGTGATGGAGATTCCAGTGGCCCCCGTCCACGACAGCAAGGAGGCGCTGCGTTTCAGGGCGGTCTGCGACGAGCGGATCACCCTCCCGCTGTCATCGTTGAGGGCTTTCAACTCGGTCTACACCAAGTTGGTGTCGGGCCTGAGCAAGTCCTCCATGGTGGAGGTGAAGGTCAACTGGCGTTGCAACGTGGTCCACGACTGGGTCGAGCAGGTCCCGCAGGAGGCGGTGGGGGCCTTGTACGACAGGTTGGGCTACTCCCAGGACCTCATCCGGCAGCTGGGTTGCTCCCCCCCTTTGGGTGCCTCTGGCCCCGGGGGAGGAGCGGCCAAGGAGTCGGACCCCAAGGCCAAGGTTCTGGGGGGAGCAGACACCACGCTCCGCACACCGGACCAGGGCACCAGGCGGTACCCGCCCATCACCACGTCCACGGTCACGGCGGTCGCGGGCCGGAAGTACATCAACAAGCACTTCCCCAAGGAGACGAAGCATGTGTTTTGGGCCTCCGTGGAGTGCGGCCTGGTCTTGCCCAGCATCAGCGCCTGGGAAGTGGTGGGCAAGGAGAAGTTCAAGACCACCGGGGGCTACATGTGCAGGTTTTGCAAGGGCTTCTGGAGGGCGAGCCGCGGGGGGACCAGGCTGCTCCAGATCACGGGGTGGCACAAAGACAAGGCCACATGCTTGCAGCTGGTGATGGACGAGCCCCCGGAGCAGCTATATAATCAGTGGATCCGGGACAGGATGGAGTTCTACAAGAGGGTGGAGCCGACGGAGCCTCCCAGGGACGAGCGGCTAGTCCTGGGCGACGCGAGCACCCCGCGCATGCGCTTCAGCTCCTCGAATGGCCTGGGGGATGTCTCCACTGCCTTGTGGTCGGTCATTTTGAGCAACCCGGAGAAGTCAGGGCTGGCGGCCATCCACTCGGTGGCAAAGGAGGCGATCTTGAAGGGTGAGAGCCGCTAGGTCGTGTCTCACAACCCTTTTGGATGTGGAGTCGTGTGATCTCTTCTTCCCATTCTTTCCAGGGATCCCCCGCCGGGACTTGGGTGCCTTTGGCCCCGTCTCGGGTGGGGGGAGGAGTAAGGGTGTCTCCTTTTGGGTTCATCTTTCACCTTCTCCTGTTCAACACGTCTCGACAGCCGGTTTGCCTCGATTTGGAGGCTGCATGCATTGGCTGCCCCAAGGACGGGCCATTTCTGCCACAGTTTGGAGAAAGTGACTGCGGCGGACTCTTGGTTCCCTGAGGTCCCCTTGGGGGTTTTGGGGAATCCCCCGTCGGGTTGGTCTTCCCCCCTCCGTGTTTTTTGGGGATTTCCGGGGGGTTGACTTTTGGTCCTGTTGGGGCTGCGTGTGGCCTGCCTGCCCCTTTTGCACTCGGCATCCTGCGCGGTTGGAACATGCATGCAGTTTGCCGCAGTTGGATCCCGGCCGTTCGATAGGAGGCTCGAACCCCCCCGTTTTCATCATGGCTAGGGTTTCTACCAAGTTTCTTTTGCGCCCGCCTTACACTCGTCTTTGGGACCGCATTCCAAGGGTCCTGTGGGACACATTGGCGGATGAGTCCTTCTCCCCGGGAGCTGTTGGTCCTGATGTGCCTGCGCCATGGCACGGCGGAGGAGGGGAGGCAGCTGGGCGGGGAGCCGGCCGTCCGCTTTGCCCAGCTCCTGGAACTCTCGGGCATTCCGGTAGGGCAAGACGACCAAGTGGTACCGACGGACTACTTCAACGGCCTGGTGGCGTCGGCGGCGGGCAGGCTTCCCCAGCCTCTGTCCGCGGCGGACCTGGCCGACCTTTGGGACAGCCTATGGTTCCTCCTCATGGCGGCTGCGGATGGCAAGCCGAGCGAGAACTTTTCCCCGCTGGAGAATGAATGGGACCGCCAGGACCAACTCAGGTGGTTCTCACGAGATGACCCACCCCCACTCCAACAGCCGGAGCTTCTGAAGTGGAGGCACTGGCGGCCCGGGAAAATCAGGGAAATGGAGCCCACGACCCAGCGAGCGCTGGAACTCCATATGCGCGGGAAATGGGCGGAACGGCTCCTTGCCCACTTCGCCCCTTTTGCGGAGCACATCGCATACATGCAGGACATCCTGGGGGAGGACTTCCGCAAGGAGGCATTGGACCTCTTGGGGGACAGTAGGTTCCGAACACTCAGGCAACATTGCCTGGTAGAGGGGCTTCACAGTGATTCCATGGCAGGAACGACATGTCCGCTCTCTACTTAACCAGCTCGCCGAGGAGGAGGTCACCCCGTGCAAGTTACGGCAGGTATGGAACACCCTCAAGTGGTTTTCCAAGACCTTCGGGCTGCTGAAGATAGACGAGCTCCATCGCCTCAAGTCCAAGAAGAGCTCTTTGGAAGAGGCGCTCACAGACACGGTCACCAGGCCACAACGCAAGG